TGGCATGAAGCTGCAGTATAAATGGTTACAGGCTTCGTTGACATCACATTTGGTTCACAGACTATCACATTTGTAACCTAACCTTAAAATTTCAAGCCACGGTTCTAGACAGTAGAATCTTACGTAGACAGTTTATTATGGCTGCAGTGTTTATATTCATTTGTGATTCTATTCATTTTTTTTTAAGCAAGTGTGTGTGTGTAGGAAGTGGATGCATCAAATCTCCAGTCAAACCAAAAGTTTGGTGACTTTGCACATGAACAGTAGAATAACCTGCAAGTCTTGTTTTGCAGCAAGGTTATGACATCACAGGTGGCTCAGTCCAGAGTCCTAACGATGTCACTGCCTTTGGGTCTCTCTTAGGGTGTTAAACAGATCCATGCTTACTCGTTTTATGGATACAAGAAGCCAAAAACCTCACTAATGGGAATCTTTTCTGTGACAACATGACAATGTTTCAGCTTCCTTACAGCTGAAAGTGGAATCTTCTGTTTTTCAATGCACAGATGGCTAAAAAGCTGACAGCACAGTTGCTGTAATTTTGTGTGTGTGTGTGTTTATTCACAGAAAGCCGTTCGGGATCGTGAGTTTGAGGCACTTCAGGGAAAAGTCCAGCGGCTGGAGAAGCTCCGGCGGGCGCTCAAAGTCGAACGGAATGAGCTGAACAAGAAGGTCCAGAGCCTCAGCGGCGGCACAGAGGGAGCCCCCACCTCCAACCCAGGGACTGACTCCCCCTCTCCACCACCTACAGACTCTCTGCTGGAGCCTGGCACCTGCCCTGCCCCTGACACCACCACCGCCTCCACCTCTTCTTGCTCCCACTCCTGCCCCTGTGAGCCGCAGCTGGACACAGACACCCTGCTGGAAGAGGCAAACACTCAGCCTGTCCAGGCACAGGAATGAAGCAGCACTGCTCACACGTTCTTCAAACCACCCACAGATAAGCCACCAGCCTGCAACCCACTACTCCTCTGCTGGATGGAGCCCATGTTAAACACTGGGACTGAAGCAAACTGCAAAGTCACACCTTTATGTACGAGGCCAGAATACCAGATCAGCGTTTGACAGAAGGGTTTAGTTGTAATCTCCCAGAATCTTCTGCAAAACAGTCTGCTGGTGTAATTACATGCACACTATCACACAGTTACCGTAAATGTATAATGCAATTTTCTGCAATAATTTGGTTTTCATGGTTTTTATTAGCATCTATCGAGTGTGGTCATCTACAGGAAGCAACTAATCAGCCACGCAAGTTAATATTATTACAATACTTTCAGAAATAACTATAGTGAAAGGATAGTGATCATATTTACAAGTTATTATCTACATATTAATGTCAACATGTGTAAAAATGATCAAAGAACAGAAACCAAGGATGACATAAAGGACCACCATAACAACATAAACTATGCCATGTAGTCATATTAACACATCTAAATTTGTGTATATACAAATTATCAAAGCATTTTTAGCAAATTAAAAGTATATATAAAGCTCGTATGAATAAATTTACATTAACTACATCACTTTGTTCATTCTATTTACTAAGATCCAGAGCAAGTGTTTATTATTCTGACTCTTCATTTCTAACTCTCGAGTTTGTTCCCCTTGTTTTGAAGTTTGCCATATTCTTCCTTTCCGTTTCTGAACTCACATGTACTCCTGTACTCAATACTCTGAGTAAATTTATTTCCTGCTTTAAATCACACCATGAGAGTTCCAGAAACATCTCTTTTAAAAGCATTATCCATATTTAACATATTGATTATAATAACGTATTTGAAATAACCTCCAGGGCCTTAATATTGCTCTTAGAAACCAAAGGGTGATGCCACTGTGGCCACCGTTTACATACAGTCTAAGTCATATTTAAAAGCCTCAAATTTAGTGTTTTTGCCACGACTGTGTTGGATTTTCAAAGTCAGAAGTGACTTTTCATCTTTGTACAAGCATGTGGAAATATTAAAGATGCATTCATAAATTGTAGGGGTGCGAACCAAAGGCACACATGCCTGCAACAGAATAAAATAGTAGAATTTCAAGCTAGATTACAAACTAATTTCATTTAATAAAATCTTCCAGAAGGTCCCAGCAGCACAGACATGGTGGAGCTGTCCAGCTCAGAATTAGCTGACCTAGCAAACAGCAATTAACTACTCTAGCTCCCTGTGTCGGTCAGGGCAGGCATTGATTCACATGGATAACAGGTTATCATGGTGGTGTTATGAAGGGATTTGTTTTCCCAGGCTGGAAACGTTTTTATTAAAGTTTAAGGCTTTGGGGATGGACTTTTGAAGCAGGCCTCAAGTGGCCACTGGAGGAATTGCAGTTTCTGGCACTTTGTGTGTTCACATTTTTCAGGCCCAGAGGTTTTTGTCGCATCATCTTCAGATCTCATCATGTTTTTTTGACAATTAATAAATATTATTTTATTAGCTAACAATCCCAAAATATATGTCCGTATTAACCTCATTACTAGTGTGCATGTAATTCCACCAACCGCCTCTGTGTTGTGCTGTTTTCCTACACCTCCGGTCCAATCGGCCCGGCAACAACAGCAACACTGCTGTAAGGTGAAGCCAACCTGCTTTATGGTGTAAAGAGTCAGAGGGTGTGTGTGTGTGTGTGTGTGTGTGTGTGTGTGTGTGTGTGCAGTTAGTCTGCTTCAGTTTGCCCGCTGATTGTCAGTGTTTATCCTAAAACTCACATTATGTGTTTCTTTCAAGTGAAGTCTTAACAGCAGCATCAGGCACAATATTTTTAGCAGGTTCAATTCATAAAAACAGAAAATAATTTTTAGGCCTGTCCTGAAATTTGAGTCCCACTTATTAAAGCGTCGTACTGATGTTTAAAATGACAATTTTATGGCACTTAAGCATGTTATTTTTGAAAATTGAGGCAGCACATTACTGATGTGACATCAGATAAATATCAGCCACTGATCGACCAATCATTTTACTTGTCAATATTCTGATATCTTGCATTCCTGAACTTTTGGTCCGTCTGCATTGTTGGAAGATGAATCTGTCATTGAAATGTGGAAATCTGGCAGAGCACGCTATACTCTCCATTAATTTAGAGCATTGCTAAAGAGTTTTAGTTTTATGACGTCAGTTGCTTTTTGCTAATTTTGTTCGGGTTTGTCACTCTGCAGTAATGACCTCTTTAAACTCCATGGTTGTCTGGTGTGTGTATGGTGAGTGTGTGTGATAGAAGTACTTTCAGTTTTTCCCAGTTGAATGTTCAAAGACCTCTATGCAACGCTCGTGTCTTGGTTTTATTCTATGGCAGTCTGATCTGACAAGCACTCAGCTGAGAATGTATTTTTATTATATCCACTGTCCTGCATGGATGTGCTGTACCACACATGACATCTCACAGAGGAACACACACACATATAGATTTGTTTTTCCTTTTGGCCCACACTTGAGCTACACCGGATTGTTTCGATGTTGAGTGTAATGTTGTGAATCTCTTGAAAGATGCACCGACTGAGCCGATGTGAATACAGATGGAAAAGTTAGACCGCCTCTTAATGGACCATTGAACACGTGTCTTCTGACATTCTTGTGTACTACATAATATGTAGCACTGGGAACAGAGTGACGACTCATTTTCATCTGATATCGCAATGACAAACCTAATCTCTTCCATTGTCCCGTAGGACAGATTCATTCCTGTCCCACAGTGGACTGGGAGGTTCACTCACCATAAGAAGGAACCAAAGATCTTTCTGTTTTTGTTGGTTTTTTGGTCTTTTGCAGTACTTTTCTCTGGCTCTGTATATTTTGTTTCTTGTTAAATAAAAGAACTGACTTAGCTTTGACCTTCTAGACTCAAGCTTTTATCTGATGCTTCTATAAATATTTGGTCAGTGATGCTTGTGTTTTGAGTATGTGTGTAATTTTGCCTCAGTTACAGCACCACGGTGGATTTTAAGTCGAGGTGGTTTTCCAAAAATTCCGCATTAACTGTTCAGGAATTCCAGACATTTTTCGATACTGTGCCGAATTTTAGAGTGTCAGAAGTCCCTGGACTTTCAGACCTTTAAGATCAGGGATGTCAAAGATGTTTTATGTCATTGACCATGTATGGCCCAATTTGAGCTTTAAGGGGCCGGCCCAGTAAAGCTCCCCATACTATAAGCGGGAAAAGAAGTTGAATTAAATGTTTAATCCCAGAGTTATCTAATTATAAGGAAATGATGTGCAATTTAAATAGTACATCTCAGGTCTTGCATGGTAGACAAATGTTACTGTAGTAAAGTAATCTGTCAACAAAACTCTTTGGGTTTAAATTGTAAGAAATGAATGCGCTGCAGAAAAAAACGTTCTGTTAGCTCATTGCTGAGACTGACCTGTATTATAAAACAGGAGATTTTTATATTATTTTCAGAAAATTGCTGAGTTTTTTGCTGCAAAGTTAAAAAAACAACAACATGAATTTCTATAGTAGATACTACAAAAAAATACCACACCTACACTTTTTTGCTAAGTCCCTGATAGGTTTATTAATTTATTTATTTATGTATTATTTTTCACCTAATGATCATTTCCCCCGCCTGCATCTACAAATTATTGGACTTGGTATTGAATTATTATTCAAGATTCTTTATTTGTCACATGCATGGTTATACAGGTATAACACGCAGTGAAATGTGACCTGATACATATATATGATACTGGTTTTATGTGTTTTTACATTCAAATAAATGTAAAATTGAGGAAAAGGGAAATTATACATGTGGAAATAAGTTAAAATGATATACTGTTATAAATTACAATTATCTGTAGCAATATATACGCTGTTTATAGTATGGGTGAAAACGAATTTAATCAGACTGGAGCCTCAACAAATATGTTGGAATCAAAAAAGGGTTCAAAAAAGATAAACAGACTAGAGATTTGGGGGGATTTTCTTTTTAACTACTATAGTAACTATTAAGCGTTACTCTACTCTCCTAATCAGAAGGTGGCGGTAATGCGCTCGAATGCGATTTCCCCATCCGCCAAGAGAAGAAGAACATTTCCTCTTCCGCCGTGGCTCCGGTGCATGAAACACGAGTGTTCATCATTTCTCTTTCAACGGGAGGAACGGCGACAATACTGGACTTGCTGCCGACACTTAGCTGACAAAAATGGTTAGTGTGCTTCTTGGTAAATGGTTCCTGATGCTAATATTTGTTTTCGAATGAAGCGGTTTGTTGATACCAGGATCGCCTCCAGCTTAGCTAGCGTAACTGCTGGTGCTACCGTTAGCTTAGCTCGAAAATTAGCCAGCGACAGCTTATATTTGAGCTAGTGTTAGCTGGGTGTAGCTAAAAGAGGTTTCGCCGGCCTGTGGTGGTTGCTACAAGTGGAAAGCTGCTTTCCCGTTTTCTTCTTTGCCATTTTCTCTCGTTCGCTGTTTTGCTAAGCATTTCAACGTTAATAGTTGTTTCGTCATCGTAGAGCCCTGCGCATTGTTTCCCCTTTGAAACAGGGCGACCTGCTGATCTAAAATCAATGTTTGTGTTGTTCACAGAAACCGATCCTGCTCCAGGGCCACGAGAGGTCCATCACTCAGATCAAGTACAACAGAGAAGGAGACTTGTTGTTCTCTGTAGCTAAAGACACGGTGGGTTCATAATAGCCAAGCTCACTCATCCATTGTTTGTTAGTTTGTTTGCAGTTGGCCAACTCGTTGATCATCTCTCTCTACAGGTAACTAACGTATGGTACTCGGTCAATGGCGAGAGGCTTGGTACCTACAACGGACACACAGGAGCTGTGTGGTGTGTGGACTGTGACTGTATCCTTATTTTTCTGGAAAAAATGCTTGGAAAAGTTTTTTTTTTTTTTTTTTTTTGTAGCAAACTGATGTAGTTTGAGATTGTAATGTATCGATCGTGCATGCTCAATCATCCAGGTAAGGAAATTCAACTAAAGTAATTATGTTCATCGTAAAAACATGAGCTGAGGTGGTCTTAGATATGTGACATCGAGATGAACAGAGCAAACTTTCTGGGATGAGTTTGTAATCCTGTGATAGTGTCTGTGCTGAGGATACGTATGTTTGGATCCTTAACTTGTCTTCTCTCAGGGGACACTAAAAATGTGCTAACAGGATCAGCAGATAACAGCTGTCGGTTGTGGGACTGTGAGACCGGTAGGTTGAAAACAAGTTAATCATTTTTCTTTCACTAGCTTTGCATGATTTCAAATTAATCTTCATGTGTGGTATACTGGGCTTTGCTCTGCTCCCTCAGTTGATCTTCTCTCTCAGTCTGGCTGTTTTAGCTCCTTTCATGTTAAGTGTAACTATATTCTGATTGGCTGATTGGTGGGTGGGGCTTCTGTGCTCACAGCCTAAGTTTTCAATGACATATAGAGCCATGGGTAGAAAAAAAAACTGAGGATTTTGTGGGGATTACTTGTCATTTTAAATTTTGTCTGAGTTTAATAAAAGCATCGACCATTTTAACGGTGTATAAGAGAAAAGGGAAAAACATAATGTATCCACTTTAATGCCATATTTGCAGCATCGTCTGAACCACTCAGGTATGAGACAATCTCTAACCGGAAGTAGCTTCTTCTACAGTGTCATAAAGCCCACAGTGTGTCGTCCACAGGTAAACAGCTGGCTCTGCTCAACACCAACTCTGCTGTTCGAACGTGCGGCTTCGACTTCAGCGGCAACATCATCATGTTCTCCACAGATAAGCAGATGGGTTACCAGTGTTTCCTGAACTTCTTTGACCTGCGGGATCCACAGCAGATAGGTGCATATACACAGTGTTAGCAGTCATGTTGATCTTTAAAGAAAAAGGACTACAAGACTAAAGAGTCACACATCAGAGGAGGTGCTTTGAAGCCACCATTGAGCACATTGTCCTCCATAGACCAGTGTGAAGTAACTCATCTTTGTCTCAGTTTTATATGTATTTAGAGTAGAGCTGGGCAATAGAACGATAACGATATATATTGCGAACTAACTTTTTCTCAATAGAAAAATTAAACTATTGCGATAGGCCTCACCACTCTTGTCCTCTTAAAAAAAAAAAAAACAACCAAAAAAAAAACAGCCAATCCAAATTAAGTAGCGCAGAGCCGAACCAATCATAGCTGCAGCGTCACGTCACGTGACTTGTTACGTACAGCACAAGTGCCAAGCCGCACATGTGTATTTGTTTGGGAAGCAGCCAGCCGCCGTGCCGCCCGGGTAATGGAGGAAATGAGTGTGCCGACTACAGAAAAATCAACTTGGAGCGTGACCGAAGGTTACCGAAGAGAAAACAGATGACCGTTCCAATGCGGGAGAGATTGTTGAACGGAAGAGCCATAGAAGTTCCGTAGTGTGAAGGTATTTCTGCTATTTCAACTCTGACAAAAAACAGAGTAGCGCACTGTAAATTGTGCCGAAAGTAAGTCTGGAAATGCAATAAATCGCTTTCTGACTGGAAGCGCTAATTCGTCATTCGGCTTTTGTCAGACTAAAGTAACTGTTAAAACTGTTTGAAAAGCTAAGCTATACAACAAGGAGAGATTGAGAATTTCCTTTTAGTTCTCAGTTTATTTGATATTGACAAAAGTTAGTCAATTTTGTCTGTTCTTCTGTAAAACAAACTAAGATTTATTTTTAGAATGAATATTTTGTTTCTAAGTGGAATTGACGATTTAGTCTGTTTCGTTTGTTCTATTTTGAAACTTAAACGCTTTAGCGGCTGCCTTTTGTGTAGTTTGCAATATTTGCCTTATATTTTATTTTGCAATATTTTATTTATTATGGGAAATAAATATTTAAATCAAAACAAGCTGCTGATTATTTCACATTTTACTTGTGAGCAATGGCACATTTAAATCTTACAAATATAGTTATTTGGCTTATATCGTGATATATATAGTTATCGCCTGAAATGAAAAAAACATATCGTGATAGGAAAAAATCTTATATCGCCCAGCTCTAATTTAGAGAGAGTTTTACTGTATTGGTGGAATTATTGCCGTATATGCGGATTATGGCTCATGTCAGTGGTATAAAGTTGTAATTTCTCTCTCTCTTCTCTCTGCAGAGGACAACCAGCCCTACCTGACCGTACCATGCAGTGACCACAAGATCACCAGTGCTGTGTGGGGACCTCTGGGAGAATTTGTCATTGCTGGCCATGAGAACGGAGAGATCAACCAGTTTAGTGCCAAGGTTTGTCACACACACTGGGAACATGTGGGAATGTATTTAACAGGCAACATAGAAAGCAACGTGCTATCTACACACAGCTCACAGTGCTATGAAAATGGAGCCTCTTCACCTTTCCCTTGATTTCTGTATATGCTGTTACCATGGTGATTGCTCATATTAAACATGACCAGAATTTCATATGACACCAGAGTATGTACAAGGAGTCATTGTAAGCCAGACTGCTCCAAACAGTTTCACACCATCTTTTTTTTTTTTTTTTCCCTACCCTGGCCCTGTGTGATGTCAGAGAGGGTGTCCTTGTATGGTTATCTCAGACATGCAAGAGGCAGCTTATCAGGACAGAAATGGCTTAAAGGGAGCAGAGCCAAAACGGCTTGTTTCAGACAGGATGAACTGATGAGGTCCACTGTAACATGAAATGAACAAGGCTTATTTTGAATTGTTTTTTGCCTGAATAAAAATGCGGAGCTTGAAACAAGAAAAAAATGAATCCCGCTTCAAAGCGTCATGTTGAAACATGCTTCATGTTTTGGACAGTCTGGAGAGATCCTGAAGAAGGCCAAGGAGCACACCAAGCAGATCAATGACATCCAGACATCTGTGGATCTGACGATGTTCATCTCTGCCTCCAAGGACAACACTGCTAAGGTAAGCCTTTAAACACAACCTCTGCGATCAGGTCACTGATGTACGTTCGCTTTAAACGTCACATGCAGATGTCTCTGATGCTGTTACTGAGTGTTGGTCATGTTCCTCATGTTCTTGTAGTTGTTTGACTCGACTTCTCTGGATCACATCAAGACATTTAAGACAGAGAGACCTGTTAACTCTGCTGCCATCTCCCCGATAATGGACCATGTAAGAGAAGCCCCTCACAGGTGCTGCATGTCCTTTGCACAGAGGATCAGTCTGACATTTAATATTTACTCAATGCTGTGTCACTCAGGTGGTGATGGGAGGTGGACAGGAGGCCATGGAGGTCACTACGACCTCCACCAGGATCGGGAAGTTTGAGGCCAGGTAAGCTAACGTGACAGATGTGGATTCCCCTTTTAATGCTTGATTTTAGTCCTTTCAGGAACCTGTTGTGGTGGTAACCACCTTTGCTGTACTCAGGTTCTTCCATGCTGCCTATGAAGAGGAGTTTGGCAGGGTCAAAGGTCACTTCGGCCCAATCAACTGTGTGGCATTCCACCCTGACGGCAAGAGGTAAAAGACGACCGTCTTCCTGACCATCATCTTCAAATATGCAGACAGCGTGGTTGAAGCAGTTGTTAACACATTTCTCCTGCTGTTGTCGTTTTGTGCAGTTACAGCAGTGGAGGAGAAGACGGATACGTAAGGATTCATTACTTTGACCCACAGTACTTTGACTTTGAATTGGAGGCGTAAACTGCCAGCCCGCCTGACCCCACAGCTTCAGCTGACATCAGACTCAGTCCAGTCAGGAAAGAGGAATAACGGACAGTCGGCACTTTGTCTCCTCCCCTTCATCTGAACTGATCTGGAGTCAGGGTACAACAGAGGTCTACGCTGTACACTTCTCCCAGATTACTTCACAATAAAGGAATAGAGCCGACGAGAGTGTGGTGTTTATTGTAAGGCTTTTTATCTAACATCACTTTTGACACTCCTGTGGCATCAGGGGCGTCTGGATCTCTGCATATTTTGTGACTGGACTTTAACCCATTCTCCTGAAGTGTATTTAATTTGACAAGAATTTGACTTATCAATCATTTTTCTGTTGTGAAGCCATTCTGCCAAAAATCGCTATAAAATACCTTAAAAAGTTGTTCCAGTTTGTCATCTCTCATTTTGATAGCACTTGATAGTAAAAATAAGCCTGAACAAGTTTATAGTGGTGATTGTGTTTCTTATACTCTCATGTGGGACATACCTCTTCCATTCTCTCTACTAAGCTCAATGATCTGCTAACGAATCGATCGCTCTTTGTAAAACCTTAAACAGTTTTTACCAAGTCAGACATGGTTTGCAGCTCTGACACTTGATCCAAGGAGCAGAGCAGGGTGAGAAAACGTTTACACATCGAAGTACAGTGTGTTGGTATTGGTACCTTTATTGTCCCTAACGGGAAATTGATTTGCAGTACAGACAACCAACACATCACATACACACTCCAAAATAATCTAATATAAGCCTGACAAAACAACCTAGATTTTTCATCAAAAAAGTACAATGTGCAATGGCAACAACACTTATGGTTTAGTGTTATTAACTTTAATAATAGCAGCAGGTACAAAAAACAATCTGTCTCTTTGTCTTCACTGCAGGCACTTTATAAAGGTGACCTGATGGAAGCAGTTGAAAATCATTAAAGAGAAGATGATCTGAACACAACAGGACAGAGGTGGCCTTCCTCAGCATCTGCCTGTTATAAAAGTCCACAAGCTGGACCTGAGACCTCCCTAAAATCTTACCAGCCACTTTAACCAGGTTGCTAAGTCTGGTCTTATTATTCAGGGACATATTACCGTACAGCAATGATACAGAAAGTTAAAACAGATTCAATAAAACTTTTATTAAAAAAAAAGTCATTTCAGATGAAACATTGAAACCTCTCAACCTCCTTAAAATGTACAGTCTTTGTTGAACCTTTTTCACTGTAGCAGCAAGATGTGACTCAAAGGACAGAGTCTTATCAAGAACAACCCCCAAATACTTATAACTGTCCACCAGTTCAATGGCTGCACCATTTACCACTGTTAGCGCAGGATGGGGGGATGTCTTCCTGAAGTCAATAACCATGTCCTTGGTTTTCAAGGTGTTAATCATTAAGGAGGACTGATCACACCACGAAACAAACTCACCCACAACAGGCCCATGGGAATCCTCTTCACCATGAAGGAGGCTTACAATGACTGTGTCATCTGCATATTTAATGAAATGCCTGTTGGCCTGTGTACTCAGTGTTTTTGCATTAATGCTTGATTCACATATTGGGTGAGAAAAAATGGGAACTTTTATTAGTAAGTTGCAGTTTTTAGTTTGAAAGATTTATTTTTGTACAATTGCACGATATCCACGAGGTGTGAAATTTTCAAGTGGTTACAAGCAGTTGACCAATACTGTAGGACGGGGATGTCAAACTTTGATCTTAAGTGGGCTGGACCAGAAAAAGTTGATAGTTCAGACCATCCTGTGATTATACAATAGAAAACCTCATCTCAAGCTCTGCAAGAAGCTGGCTGACACCAAACAACTCCCTACTCTGAGCCCTTAACCTCCACAGGCACCAAGACTGTCTGGGTGCGGTAAGGAAATTGTCTCTAATAACTTCATCAGAACTGAATGTACTTGTAGCCATTTTTTTCTCTGAGCATTCAAAGCCACGTGCACGGACAATTTGGGGTTCAGTACACTGCATGTGGAAGTGTGATCGAGCAAACTTGGGGAGCTGGGTCTTCTTAAAACACTCTTGATCAGCGGTCCCCAACCCCCGGGCCGGTACCGGTCCGTGAGTCCTTTGGTACCGGGCCGCGAGAGTTGAGGCTCAGGTGTGAAATGTATAGTTTTCAGGGTTATTTTGTTATCGTTTTTATCGTTAACTGTTTTCCTGGGTCTTTTCACGTGTGTTATGAATAAATCTTTTTTTCAGTACCAGTACTAGTTTTATTTTGTTGTATTTATCCGCGACACCTTAAAGGCCGGTCCATGAAAATATTGTCGGGCATAAACCGGTCCGTGGCGCAAAAAAGGTTGGAGACCGCTGCTCTTGATGACAAGTTAGGTGGCACTGTACTGTAAATTCTGGCTTGCCTTTGTATCTTTAATTTACAGTGTCAGTACAAATAACAAGTCAGGACAATATAAGGTTCTGTTTTATCTTTTATTTATTTTTTTATAACAAAGTTCTGGTAATGCACATTTCACAAGGATAGAACTCCAAACAAGCACGTGTAGAGGCTCACTCCACCTTCATGTATAATGGTACAAAATATCTAAAATAAGTCACTCATACCCCAACAGTAACCCCAGAAGAGGTTCACACTCATACTTACATAAACACACAATGGAGGAAGAAAATAAAAAAACAGCAGAAAGGAAAATGGGCTGAGGGGACTGTACTCGTGATTTTAAATAAGTTACTGAGCAGAGATCGGGGACTGTTTGGGCAAAGGCAGTAATACGTACATGCTAAAGGCGAGACCAATCTAAACATGCATTCACTAGTGAAGCAACACAGAGGCAAACAGTGCCTCATGCTGGTTATTCAGTATCACAGTATCATAAATAGATGTCTGAAAACTAACGAAGCCTTTTTGCATGTGAGCACTTGGAAATCATCTACATCTCTGCAGGGACTTCCGAGTGAAATACCAGGATAGGAACAGTAACACTCTGGGTGGCTTTCAAATATTATTAGAGCAAACCTGGTTTACACACCAGCTCACAGGGATTGATTTTATTCTACATGGAGCACCAGGCGGGTGCGGTTTATACCGGCACATCACTGGGCTTGTAAACAGGTGACAGTGTAAATCAGGCTTGCCTCTAAGAGCACATAATAAAAACAGGAATAGAAAAAGGCCCTATCACTGGAGCGGGAGAATACAGGAATCAAGAGGGGCTTGAGGATAACAATAAAACCATCCATTCCTCTGTGTGCCGGTCTTCAGGTCGTCTTCACCTCTTCTTTTGGTCTGAAACAGGTTAGAAGTTGCTACAGTTACTACACTGAGTTTACTCAGAAAACATCATATAAACAGCTAACACAAAGACAAAGAGGGTTCCCTTTCTTTTAGCAGTTTCAGTAACTTATCTGCCGTTATCAGCCCTTTCCTCAAACACTAACTATGAGAGGTAGACAGCATTGCCTTACTACACACACGGCCTTAACTGAAAACCCTAAATGATAAATGTAAGAAACCACTACACCAACCAGTTACAAACCACAATGTCATGAATCTGAAATTGCTTCAAGCTGGGAACCTGGTGTCAAAATTCTCTACTCCATATCCAGTGAACAACCGAGACAAGTAAAAGTGAACCACTCTGTCCCAGTCTGAATGTTTCTTACCCTGATGTGTCCATTTTCTCCTCCTCCTTCTCTTCCTCTTTGACTTCTAGGAAGCAAAGACACATGGGTAAATACTGTTCCTGTTATCTTTAATCATGTTCTATGATAGGTTTGTCTCACTAGCCTCACCTTTCTTTTCCTCTCCTCCCTTCTCATCCTCCTTCTTCACTCGTTTAGCCTTCTTGTGGTTAGCTGCGTTCCGGCGTCCCCCGCCTTGCCCCTCTGCCTCATCTTCAGAATCAGAAAACTCCTCCTCGCATGCTATCCTCTTGTCGTGGGCTCGGACTGAAAAACAGAACACACACAAAAAGACATCAGTACAAATCCTCATGCCACTGTTTCCTTTAATCCTAAAAAAAATAATTCCTCCTGAAGTCTCTTACTAGAGATGCGTTTGTCTGGGTCTTCCTCCTCCTCGTCTCCGCTGTCTGGGTGAGGGGCATCCTCTGGGATCGCTTGCATCTGGACACCGGGGGCGTGAGGCAGCATACGCAGGTTCTCAAACAGGCGCTGTTTGATCTTCTCCAGGTACTCGTTGGTGTTCTGGTTGGTCATGTTGGAGGGGCTGATGTGCAGCTTAAAATCAGGCCCAAAATACTCAAAGTAATCGTTGTACGGCAGCTCATTGGGGATGGAGCAGTCCAAGGCGACAGCGGTTTCGTAGGTCCAGCAACGGGCCACATTGCGGATGGTGTAGCCTCCGCCGCCCAGCATCAGCAGAGGAAGGTTGAAAGTTTTGATGTACTCGACACACTTGGCGTGACCTGTAGGAGTCAGCACATATTGGCGTGAAATTCCTAATGGTACAAAGGCAGATCTGAGCATTATCTTTTGGACTGTGTGGTTATACCTTTGATGGTGAGGTTAAAGCAGCCCAGTCTGTCTCCAGACAGAGAATCAGCTCCACACTGCAGCACCACAGCACTGGGCTGGTACATCTCCATGACTTTAGCCATGACCTAACACACACACAGTAATAATAAAGTCAGAACATGAACAGTGAACATGCTCTCTGCTGGCTACAGAAACATTATCAAAGAAAACTTACAGGCTTGAAGATGGCTTCATAGGACTCATCATCAATACCATCTCTGAGGGGGTAGTTCACTGCATAGTACTTGCCCTTTCCTGCTCCAATGTCCTGCACACATTGGGAATATTGTTGAATTCATGGTCACACATGTTCAAGTTGCACTGGTCACGTGTCAGACGTAAGAGTAAGAAAACTAACCCTCAGGTCTCCAGTGCCAGGAAAGTATTCCCCATACTTGTGGAAAGACACGGTCATGACCCTGTCTGTGGTGTAGAAGGCCTCCTCTACTCCATCACCGTGGTGGATGTCAATGTCAATGTATAACACCCTCTGATGGTATCTGAAACATGGCATAGAACTCAGTTAATAAACTTATACAGTTCTACTACTGTATAATAACATAAACAAAACAAAAAACACTCCAAAAGTGCACCCAGTGTGTGTTTCTACTTAAAAGCAAATAAATGCTGATGCAAATCAACCACTCAGAAAGACACAGGACAAAGACAGCGAGCCTAACAGAGCATTTCTGGATGCTTTCATAAATGCGCTCTGCTGACAGAGGACAAGGATATACAGTCATGTAAAAACAGAGCACAGCTGTGCTGCTTACTTAAGCAGCTCCAGGATCGCCAGCACGATGTCATTGACATAGCAGAAACCAGAGGCCTCTGACTTCTTGGCGTGATGGAGCCCACCGGCCCAGTTGATGGCGATGTCTGTCTGCTGCTTGTTCAGCTTCACTGCTCCAGCTACAGGAATGAAAAAGAATAATCAACATTA